TGCATGCTCTGCACAGCTCTCTGGTTCACATTTTCCTGCCAGCAGGAGGAGAGAACCCTGCAGGGGAACACTGTGCTTGGGACCAAGCTAGAAAGAGAAAAGCCAAAGAGATGAAGTGGGACTACACATGGGAATAGGTACTACAATCAAACCACAGCAAAGCACCAGGGGTGCCAACAGCTGGACCTTTAAAGGGAAAGGGGAATCCATGCAATGGAAGCAGAATCAATAGAGCAGTAGGGGAATGGTGTGGGAAGGGGATGGGCCAAGCTGCTTGGAAGCAGAGGCCAGAACTACAAAGCAAAATAACAACTACAACCTCCTCTTGACCTGTGGGATTCCTGCAGGGATCAGGGCTGCCCACCAAACCGATCACCTGACCTGAGCCCATTTTCCTGGCTAAGTGAGCAATGCTGTTTGATTCTCTCAGGGACTGGCAGATGGCATAAACCTTCCCAAGGGCATCCAGTGGCTATGTATAAAGATCTGTTTACATGACTAATGTTTGCAGAGTTTTCCAGTAACTTTTCATTCTTCCAGAACTGGGCACAGGGTTGCCAGCCTTTCTGTGCTGTGGATATCTTGGCTTCTTTTAAATTCCCAAACCATTCCCAGTGGTTTGCTCCAAGCTCTGAATGTGCAAGAGAAATTTCCTTCACTGACTGACAGAAAGAATCAAATCAAGAGATCTTTATCTCAAAATACTGCCATGTCCTTGTAAGCAGATTGATTTTCTCTTTATCAGCAATCCTTGGCAGTGTGAGGGGGATTAGGAAGCTGTTCTCTACAGTGGGACTTCTGCTGTTTAATAAGCATGTCAGTTTTCTGGAAAAATTAGTAAATTGGCAAAAAAAAAGCCACTGCTTCAAAATTATATACATTTGTTAATTTCTGGACTTGCCTGAGACCAGTGAATTCTTGAGTTTCAGAGGAGTCTAAAAATGAAGCAAATTGGAATTACAATGCAAGTGAAATTCAGGGGGAAAAAACCATTATGGAGATGCAAGGAACACTGTGAGCCTTTTATAGAGATTGCTTGATCTCAAATTGACTTATCACTCAAAATGACAATATATCATTAGATTGTTTTAAGAAAAGTCTGCCATCTTGTATTCTGTAACAATAGCAAAAGGAATCACACACACAAAATGTTAGAAGCTGTGAAACATGAAATGATCTTGTTGCCAAACAATCTGTGATGCAAAGAGGTCACTAAAGAAGAAGGCCACAATGGAATTAGTATTTTCTAAAAATTAAGTTAGTCAGTTGCTATACATGCATCTACACCTGGCTTTTGGGCAGTGTGCTCCTCATCTCCCCGTTTTTATGAGGTACTGCATTGAAATTTATTGCTGTGGGCAATGGAACTGAACTTTCCAAAGAAGCTCCAAGGTGAACCTCAGTGCCTATGGCTGCTGGGAACTCCTGTAGCACTGAAGGGGGACCCTCTTTTCCTGAAGAAAAGCCTTATAAAAGGCCTAATTTCTACTCAACTTGCAGAATATTTTTGTTCCAGAAACACTGATAGTGTTGCCTGAGTTAACTGAGACTTGTTTTGTGAATCAGAAACAAGATTTCATTGACTGTGGTGATGGGAAAACCAACTCTATTGCATGGGGAGGCAGATAACCCTAAAGAGGGGTGTGTGAGACATCTCTGTCACAAAATATGGGCTGTCTGAGCCAACTGATGCTGCCTGCAGTGCTTGGGACATTGCTATGGGGAAAATACAGACAGAACTCCAGCAAGAAGGCCTGAAGGTATTAGAAGAGGTGTAACAGGAGTCACTTCAGGTACAGGTGTGATGGGATCTCTCCCTCACCACAAATCAGCTAGGTCAGAGGACTGGACCATAAAGAGACCAAAGTCAGACTCTCCAGCCCATGCCTTTGGCCCACAACCAAGATCTAGGATGGAACTCAGGCAGACCTACCTCACTCTTCCTGGAAGTTCTGGGTGGTTGGAAGTACCAGTAACGTGTGGGTGGAACATGAGGACACGAGGACAGGAGGACAAGGAACTGGAATGCAAGGTACACATATGTTGGGAAAGTCACGGTTTGGAGTTGAACTCACTGTGTCTTTTCCATGCTTTTCTGGTGGGAACAATCACAGAAGCCAATGAAGCAGAATCCAAATAATTTGTTAAGTATTAATGGAGAAAGGATGAGAGCTGAGTGAAAATCACCTTTCTGAAGGGCTTGCTTGTGGCAGTGTTAAGAGAAGGGAAAGCCAATGTCACTTTGGACAGCATGCAGGCAGGGTGGCAGTTCCTTGCAGTAGCCAGAGGATACAGATTCTGCATATTCCCTGAGACTGAGAGCACTAAAACTTTAAAAAATGCACTCCTAAATCCAAATGTGTAATGACAAAATTTAAGAATAAGTAAAATTAGTTGACAGGTTTTGAATAACCTTGTTTTAGGCTGCTAAACAGGTTCTCTTCTCATTTAATCAGCTATTGATACAGGTATGGGAACACTCCAGCTGGTGTCAAGATCTTGGGGGCCTGGGCCACCATCCAAGTATTTTCAGACACACATCTGGCAAGCAAGCTCTTTCTCAGATTATCTTTTCTCTATGCCCCCCTCTTCCATTTTACTTTCCTCCCCTATTCCCCCTTTTTTCATGTGTAGATAACATTGAACACACATTTCTTTCTCTGTATCTGAGATTACAGAAGGGTAAAGCCTCTCCACCTTTGTTAAACAAAATTATTTCCTCTGGTGGGTTGGCCACCTGGAACATAAAACATAAAGCTCTTTTAGCAGGAACTAATGTGGTTTCTGGCAGGACAGCCAACAGAATCCTCATTGGCACATCCTTGATGGTAGTGCTGAACCCCCCAGCAGGGTGAAGGCAGGGTGAGAAGCATTCTTGAGTCACGTGGATCACAGGATTAAATCAAATGACTGAAAAAAAGAAAAATACAAAGACTGGAATGTGTAAACAGTGAAGGGAAAAAAAAAAAGTGGGAATCAGAATTAAACTTGAAGCCTTTTTGTTAAAACTCTCTGAGAGAGTGTCACAGTGTAAGACCAGCTTTATGGACTTTTCTTAGGCACTCTTTTACCCAGGGACTCAACCATATATTTAATGAAACACTTTATATATCCTAATGGCATATAATATTTGTGAGCCTAAATATATTCTCAGCAACTGCCCCAGAGCTTGTCTTAGTACTACTAAAACTGTTCAAGAGGACTAGAATGCAGGGTGTCATGCCCTTCTTTTGCTAGCTATTACTGCCAGCAGTAATGGATGCTGTTATTATACTCAGTAACAATGGACACCACCAGTGCCAAGGGCAGCTTCCACTTTTGTTGATAACACATCATTGTGAAGTAGCTCAGGCACCACTTCTAGCACATATGTCCCTGCACTTCTGTCGTTTATTCATGATCACAAGTGTTTGTTACAAAAGGAAAGGTGCTTTTCATGGGCTCTGGTTCCACATAAAATTAAATAGGAAAAGTAAATCACCTGCAGACAGAAGGTTAGGATTTTTCTTCAGTCATAATAGCAAGACATATGGATATCTTTATGATAAATCATATCATGATAAATCAGATCTCCGCAGTATAGCTGTAAATATTATAAATCAGCAATGTAAGGCAGCCCTGTTCACCCTAATTTTCTTGCAAATAAGGGCAACTCAAAATGGATGTCTGAAATCTGAAGCAGTTATTAATACTGAATCTGCATTTTGGTCGAAAAAAGTAACACTTTAAAGTGGGAATTGGAATTACAGAAGAAACATGAGTCCAAATCCAGAAGAGACACACAAAAGAGAAGCAGTATCTCCAATGGCCAGTGTCTCAGGGGCTTAGCAGGACCCGAACAAACAATTTTTTGCACTCCGATTAAAAGGCTTATTGAAAAATTGCCATGTTTTTCACAAAGGTGTCAAAGTAGAAAGATGAACTTTCAGCCTTAGCTCAATGTCATGCTGCAGTGCGCAAGAAAAGAACAAACACAAGCTCACAAATGCAGTTTGTTCTCTGTATCATGAAAGCCTGGCAGAACTCCAGTGCTGGAGTAATGCCAAACCAGCACACCAGTGTCTTTGATCTTCTAAAGCTCATGTTTTCCTTTAGTGTTTAACATCTCCACTAATTTAAAATCAATGTACAAATGGCTTTCAAAAATAATTGTGAGCAGCCAAAGTCTCGACATTTCATAACTATTCAGGTTGTTGGCAACTGTCACAAGTGGAAACTTGGAAAGCTGCAGAGGCTGAGCTGCCGGAGGTTCAAACTCCCTCGATGCCCTGCAACCTGTGCATTGCTGCCCGTAGGTCGCTGAACACCTGCATTCCCATGGGCAGAGCATTTCCAGGCTTTCTACCTGGAAACCTTCTGTCTGAACCCCAGATCTATCAGATCTGACTCCAGCCCGTCAGGGCAGGGTGATTTCCTCCCTCAGAAGTGCTCACTTCACTCCCACACAGCTCTGCTGCTCCTCAGGGTTCGACTCCCCTGAGGGATTTCTGCATGGTCTCCTGCAGTTCCACTCATCAATCACTAACATCGCTGCCTTTTTAGTCTTCTTAGACTAAAAAGTTCATTCTTATGGCATCTGCTACAGCTCCATTCGTGGCACTTGTGTTCCTCATGATTATGCTTGTGACTACTTGTGACAGATCGGCTCCGGGAAGGAGACCAGAGAGAGATTTCAGCTGAATCGCCACGCCAGGCCCGGCTCACTGCCTTCTGAAAGAATTTCAACTTTGGCCACCGCCATCGTGGGTCTGGCCCGAGGCTGGCCCGGTCCCCTCGGGCCCCTCCCGGCCCCGCTCTGCCCTCACAGCCGCCCGCCCCTCGCCAGCGCCTCACAGCCGCAGCCCCTTGTCTGATGCAATTCACTTCCCCCCTTGCTCGCGGCCTCGGGCCAATCACGGGCTCTCCCGGCCTTGGCGTCACGCCTCGCAGCCAATGAGCGAGAGCCACGATGGTAGAAATCCGGGCGGGGCGGCGCAGGGCGCAGTCAGCCGCGCTGGTGACGCGGGCGGCGTGTCCGCTGTGCCGCCATGGCAGCGCTGCCCGGTGCCGCGGCCCCGCGGCTGCTCCTCATCCCTAGCAAAGCGGCCGAGGCTCCCAGCGCCGCGGCTGCCCGGCATCTGTCCGTTGTCCTGCCGGCAGGAGCCGACCCCGGCCTCCCGGGGATGGACACCGCGCAGCCGGCCCGCAAGCGGCAGCGGCTCACGCATCTGAGCCCGGAGGAGAAGGCGCTGCGCAGGTGAGTGCGGGGCAGCGGTGGCGGGGCTGCGGCCGTACGTGGTGGGTACAAGATGTCCCGCTGATGGCTGCTCTGCCCCGCAGGAAGCTGAAGAACCGCGTGGCGGCCCAGAGTGCCCGCGACAGGAAGAAGGCGCGGATGACAGAGCTGGAGCAGCAGGTGGTGGAGCTGGAGGAGGAGGTAAGGGGCTGCGGGAGATACGGGGCTGGAGCAGGGGGAGCAAGGGAGCGGCCTCCCTGCCTCACGGCTCTTTGCAGAACCAGAAGCTACTGCGGGAGAATCAGCTCTTGCGGGAAAGGACGTGTGACCTCGCGAGGGAGAACCAGGAGCTCCGCTGCCGCCTTGGTTTGGACGCTCTGAAGACGGAGGAGGAGGAGGGTGACGAGTTCCAGGTGAGCTGCGCTGCTGGCGTGTCCGCCCCGCCTTGGGCACAGCTGCCCCGATCCCGGGGCAGCCTCGGGGCTGTGGGCAGGGATATGCCGCAAAGACCTTTGTCCTCCATATGGAGGCTGTCCTGAAACTCTGCGGGTGCCAAGTCGAAATGGGTAATGTGGGAGGTAGAAAGCTGACTACTTCCAGGCTGTTTAAGACAGTTTTCTCTGGTTTTCTACTATATAGAGGTGAAGTAAAAACTGTTACAGTCATGTAGGTATGTCTCAGATGTGGTGGAGAGGGTCAGGCTTTCATTTAAAATAAATGTGCAAGAGTAGGAAAGCGTCAGCTAACTTGGAAATTACCTTACCTTCAGGTTCCTACAGTACAAGCAAATAGGGAATTTTGTGTTGGAAGCCTTAGCAGAAGAATTATGATCTTGAAGATCACGTACTGTACTGCCTGCCAGAACACTTGAAATGACTGAGTTTTTGTCTTGGTGCAGGTTGTGAAGGAATCCCAGGTGGATGAGATCAGATTGGTGACCGGGTCCGCTGAGTCCGCAGCACTCAGACTACGTGTTCCTCTGCAGCAGGTGCAGGCCCAGCAGTCACCATTTCTGATAGTTTCCACATGGATTCTGATGGCAGTGACTCTTCAGACTCTGAGGTGAGCATCCAGTCCTATACAAACTGTCCATGAAATTCAGAATTACTGAAGATTTAAGATCAGTGTTGTAATGTTTTGATGTTAAATCATTTGGCGATTTGTTTATTCCAAATCTTGGAATGCCAGACCTGTGCATCAGAACAGCTGTGTTAGGCTGTATCCAGTGAGTATAGGAATTCAACAATACCCACATGAAAAAACCCAGTCCCCACAGCTTTAGTTGTGTGCAGGTCTGCCTAAGCCAGGTTTTGGTCCCTGCTTTGTGTAGCCAGCAGGCACTGTGGTCTTTGTACTTGATGGGTACAAGATCTCAAGGAGTTTCTAATAGTGGCTGTAAATCTTAAATGCATGTATAATTCCCTGGGGATTGCCAGTACCCTTACAAAAAAAGCTGTGGGCAAATAATGACTTGTGCCCTGGCATAGATTGCCCAAAAAGGTGTGGAGTCTCCCTCACTTTGAGACAGTTGAGAACCATCTGGTGCAATTCTGTGCCACGTGCTCTAAGATGACTCTGCTTGAGCAGGGAAATTGGACCAGATGTGACCTTCTGTGGTCCCTTCCAACCTGGCCTATTCTGTGAATTTCTGCAAGATGGGTAACTGCCTTAACTGTATGTTTGATAATATTCTTGGTAAAACAACTGTGATTGCATCAGTGTATGTTAACTTCCACGTGGAGGTTAATAGAGGCCACATTTGGTGTCTGGCTGTAACAGTAATAAACTGTCTTTCTAACACTGTCTTTCATTTTGCAGTCTGATGTCCTATTGGGCTTTCTGGACAGTCTGGACCCAGAGTTGTTTCTCAAATATGCTGATTCAGAGTCAACGTGCCTGGAAAAGCTGGAGGAAGAGATCTCTGGAGAAACAAATTCCATACCAGCCACCCTCTCTCCCTCTTTGGGGTCCCCATCAGCCAAGCTGGAAGCCATTAATGAACTCATAAGGTTTGATCACGTGTATACAAAACCCCTGGTAGTGGAGATTCCTGTTGAAGTGGCCAACCAAACCAATATGCTAGTGAAAATTGAGAAAGAAAATCTCTCTTCATCTGACAACAAGGCCATCCCTGAAGCCCCAGTGTCTGTGAAGAAGGAACCTGTAGACAGCTTCATGCCTGAACTGGGCTTTTCTCATCTGCTTTCTTCTTGTCATAGCCTTGAAGCCTCAAGCTACCTGTTGGATGGCTGTAGTGACTCTGGGTATGAAGGATCCCTGTCTCCCTTCAGCGATACATCGTCCCCGCTTGGCGCTGACCATGCGTGGGAGGACAGCTTTGCCAAGGAACTCTTTCCCCAGCTCATCAGTGTCTAACGTGGTAGTGTTAACTCCCTGGGAGCAACTGTCCTGGCAGGAAATCAGCAGTGCCCCTTTGGGGTCTATGTGGGCAAAATCAAGCCCATTCAGAAAAGTGTTTCTCACCTTTACCATGCTAGTTGATGGTATGAAAAAGCCTGGGGTGTCCTGTCCTGCCCTGGCTCCCCCCCAGTCAGTGTTGGCTCAGGAGAGAGGCAGGTTTGTTTCTCAATAACTTGCTCATTCTCTCTGAACCTGAAAATGTTTTGTTTTCCAGTTAAAATTTTAACACCAAAAACTAAACTGGGATATTCATGTATAGGCAACTGGGCTAGACCTTAATAGTCTCCAAGTCTTACAGCTTCACTAAATGCTTGTTTTCCGTTTGCTATGTAGAGTTGCTTTGTCCATTTAATATTTAACTGTATTGGTGCAATTAAAATGCAGTGCAGCTCACTGACCCTGTTTTGCCTTAGAACTCACTGGGGAGGGGAGAGGATCTGGGCCTTGGAGAATTTAAGTTCAGGTCCCTCAGTGTCTCATCCTGCCACAATGCATTGAGGAGCACTGCTCATAAGCTGTCTGCAGCTGGATGCTTCAGCAGTTCCCTTTTGGGGGCATTGGATGTGGTAGACAGGTTTGTGTGAGAGCCAGAGCTACTGGAGCAAAACCTTCAGCCTCTGTGAGGCAGGCACCTGGCAGGAGCTTGAGGTCTGAATATTCAAAAGTCAAGGCAGTGGTGGCACCCTGGTGGCCAGTACTGCTGTCCAAAATTCTCTCAGTCTGAGGGGAGGTGGGTGAAAATGGTTGCAGATTCTCTATGACCACAGGAAATCTTGAAGCATCAAATGGACTTGTCAGGAGCCAATTTCAAATACCACAGCAGGACTTCTCATTGTCCACATCCATTTGCTCCAATATCCAGTATTTATCACAACATTTTTTTAAAACTTGGAGAGACAGAAGAAATTTCGTATTGAAAATAAGAGAGCTGTTGCAGGTGTTGGCACAGCTGTTCTTGGTTTCAGTACTATTTCATGTTTTGCATTCAATTTTGGCAAAAATAACTTGGGGTGGGGAAGAAAGAAAACCAGAGATGTTTCAGTCAGTAACATTCAAGGTGACAGGACTGCTTTGGATTACAAGCTTGAGTAACCTAGCTTATACTGAAGGATTCCACCTGAATAGTGGGTAGAAGTAAAGACTACAGCTGTGCAGTGTAACAAATTTAGATTGAAAATCCAAGCAGTCAGAAGAATAAATTACTTTAACGGTGGAAAAGAGGGAGTATCAATTTGTTGCAAATCCAAAAAAAGCAGAAGTGAGGATTTGATCTGTAGTTTTGCAATACATTCTCTTAGCACCCTTTTATGGAGCCCCAGCTCCTCCTGGCAGCTGTGAGCAAGCCATTTCAACATCTAAAAAATCCAAAGGAAATTGTATTACAGTCTCCTTTCCATCACAGTGGGACATGGGATGTGCCTAACATTTCAACCTTGTTAAGCACAAGAGACAGCAATGTTCAAGGACGTGGTCTTTACACTGTTTTGCTTCCCCTTCTCTACTTAACAGCTCTATCCTGGCATGCTTCATCCTGACTTACTGCTAGCACTGGGTCCCACAACAAGGTGTTAATAGTTACTGAGACCTCTTCCACTAAAAACACAGAAGTAGTTCTTGTTTGGCATCTGGAAGCCTACTACCATGGAGAAATCCCTATGAGCACTAGTATTTTCTACTAGAATCAAGTCCACTAAGATGGTACACAAAAAAAGCAAGTCTTACCTTCCAATGAAATTACTAAAATCTGAATTTAAAACTCTTCTCAAACATTCCTTAACTTTAAAAATACCTAGCCTGCTTGGTTCTGAATAGTTTTATTCTGAAGTCAAATAAAAGATCTCAAAACACAAGCTATAGCAACATTAATTGGTACCCCTATTGCTTTGTCAGAGGCCTATGAGAGACTTAAAATAACTTTTCCTTCCTGGCAGCTTCAGGTTTATTCTATTCTGCTCTTGCCTTCCCTTGTCCTGCTGAATACTGTGGAGGAAAAAAAGAGCATGCCTTTGACATAACATAGATAAATTCCAATCTTCTTAAGCCAGAAGAGTACTTTACTGTCCAGCTGAAGGACTGCACATAGACTCCCAAGGTTTTATCACTCTTACCAGGAATGAAACAGTCATCTAAAAATATTTTAGAAAATTTATTGAAAACTGACATACAAAGGGTGATTTGGTCCCAAGAGAAGACAGACCAGAATCGGATCTTTCGTATTTCAAAATAATGTTTTTCCTAATACTGCGTCGCATTTGCCATCCCGTTTGTGAACAGCATTAATAAAAGTCTTTTAATGAAGACAACAACAAATGAAACTCACAAATACAGAAGTCTGTAAATGCCCACAGCTTGATCTCTCATCCAGTCACCCTCTCCAAGTGATGGCTGTAGCAAGGATCTTGCTCAGTGTTCACTTGGTTCCCACTCTTCCATCAATTTAAGCAACTCAACCCCTCTGTCTCCTACCACAAGGGCAGAAATGCATTGTGAAAAAATGAAAGCAAATGTTTTCTATCAAAGCAAACTTTTTAGACAATTTTTTTTTCTCCATCCCATAGTCTTTGTCAACAGTGCACCACTCTATTGTTGTTTTAGATGGCAGGTAACAGGTCAGTGATGCCCTACTGGCATTGAGTTAAGAGGAAAAACACCTCTGAAAGTCAACCTTTGGTACAAACCTAGGAGGAAAAAAAGTATGCTTAAAAGCCATCTACAACAAATTCTGCAAATCTGATATGCAATTGGGTGTTTTTAAGAGGAAAACAACTGCATCAATTGATGTATTTAAGCCTCACAGAGTTTTTTTAAATCTTCTGATGCAGTTTCAATGTTGCTGAGATGGTTTCATCATATTTTTAAAATTTTCATCCTTTTTTTTCAGTTTATTTAGGATTCAGAGCTTTCACCTAAAATACTTTAACTATAATCCAGCAAGCTGAAAACCAGTCACTTACTTGGAGGCATCACATTTTCTACCTGCAGTGACTACAGCCTTCTCCAAACTGACTGCTTTATGTTCTACTCAACCACTGGAGCACATCAGAGGCTGTAGGTATTAAAAGATGTTCAGCAGCTTAATAACACAGAAGAAATTTTCCACAGTTCATGCAAAAGATTTATAGCAGACCCTGAAATTAAATTAGGCATTATAGCAAGATAGGCTGCACATGTTCAACTTAATAAACCTTCCTGAATGGTACAGGTGTATACTGGTTTCCAGAATAATATCTTACTCAAATGCTGGAGTGTTTTTAATGAAACTCTAAAATGTTTTACCAAGAGACAGGAAATTTCAGACAACCTTCAACAAAAGCAGCAAGATAAACAGGGTTTAACAAACAGGTATGTTTTGAACAACCAGAAGGACTGCAAAAAGAGAAGACTGATTTTAAGCTTTTAGCTATGGGTTATTCAACAGTGAAGAATATTATCACAAGGATTATCTTTTAGCTGTGCAGAGGAAGAGAAGATTTTCTGCAGCTGCATTCCTGTGTACTTGCTTCTTTATGTTAGCAAGATGTCAAAACTAGATTGGACGTAGGACTCTGAACAGAACCTGTTACTTGGAAAGGGATTTCTTATAAAAAGCCTCAATTCAGGTATCTCTGAGAAAGCTCAAGGACTTATGAACAAAAGATAAAACCCTTAAACACGTTAGAAAACCTTAAGCATAACAAACTGCTGTGCATTGAGAAAAGGAACAAGCATTAGCTCATTGTGAACTCCTTTCCTTGGCACCCTGTGCAGGGTAGAAAATTCTTTTGGCAAACATCTGTATAAACAATGTGATGCTATGTTATTGGCACATACTGTGGCTTAAATTTTATGTCTAGATTCTCTCAGGAAAAAGACAGGCATCTCCTTTACCTCAGCACCAAAGCCACTGACTTGGGTACAGACCCAGCATTTGAGCCTCGTAATGGCAGCAAGCACCATTATCCCTGTTATTGATTTACTTATCATCTTTACCCAGATCAATGGATGCCATTCATTTCATCAGAAGTTACACTGTCTTGACTGACTTCCCAACTCCATGCATATAGAGAATCTCAGCACAATGTAGAATGTGAATCTCTTTGCTGAGAACCACTTTTCTCCAAACTTTGCGTTGTTCGGGGAGGGGAACATCAAAAACCCACAAATCAAATTTAGAAGCCAATGAACCAAAGATGACTGAAGTTAGCAGGTATCCTGCAAGGTCCAAGTGCTGGCTTTACTTTCTACAAAGCAAGACTTAAGCTCAGCTGTAGTATTCCTTCCCTAGCACCCCATGGACTGTGTAATTTCTACATCTGAGTTTACATAAAGTCCAAACAAATAAGATGATGTGAAAAGCTGTATTACCAGAGGGACTGCTTTTCTATCCATGACTAGATTTGAAGATGTTTCTTCCTTTACATTTTGTAATTCAAATTAAACCAAATGGCCAAGAATAGTATGTGCACCAGTTTCAATGGCTCAGTAAGACAAAGGTGTGGCTTAAGCCACAGTTACATTCAGTATTTGGATTTTATGCTTTACCAAGGGCAGTTAAGAGGATATTTCACCATTAAGCAAGATGGAAAGCTACTTCCCTGTTCCAAAGGCCTCTGAATTACCTTTTCAGTAAAAATAAGAATATTTAACAGATTGGAACACAGAAATCTTAGGGTGTTTCCTGGCCACCCCATGATTGTGGTGTGCTTATGATTGTTAGTAAGAA